CACTCCGAAGTGTCAGCCTGGCAACCCAGCCATAGAAAGCTTCTGCCTTCCAACAGGAGTGCCCCCCACTCACACCCCCAGCTCCCTGTGCTGCCTTCTAGGGAGAGGGAGGGTAGTCCTGAGCGACATTTCAAACTCTCAATACTTCGAAGTGGCAATCCCCAAATGAACACACAATCTGTGCGTTGTTTTGTTTGCGAAATGGCACTCGTCGCACTCGCTTGGAATCTGAGCTGAAAGCAGCCACCCCACTCTGCTGTTACGTTCCGTACTTCACCCACGGGGCGAGACAGTGGAGAAGACACCACCATCAAGACCAGACCAATGACCCTGGGACAAGCTGACCTCGCTCTTGGCTGTCATCACACCACGTTGTGTTCGCAGTCTGCACCAGGCTCCAGGCCTGTTCATCTTCTGCCCAGTGCAGCCAAGCAATGCAAGAAGGCAGACATTTCAGCACATGCCGAAGTCTCTCCCAGCCCTCCTCCCCGCCTCCCCGGGGCCAGTTCCGAAAACACACACCATCAAAGGGTCTCCTGTGCAGGAGTCGTCCGTGTGTGTCTATCACACAGAGAATCTGAGTGAGAGAGCTAAAGGAGAACACAGGGAAAAAAGAGACAGAGGCAAAGAGAGAGAGTGCAACAGGGAGAAGCAGTCCTCGTGACTTGCACATGAAGGAGTGGAAACTCCTTTCCTTACCGGCAGCTTCTGGGCCGAGTGAATCATGGTTTGGACAGGCACCCTGCCGATGGACAGCCCACTGGTTTCCCAGCAAAGACTGACCCTTCTGTGAATTCCAGAGAACAATTCATGGCCTCAGGACCACCTACAACTTGCATGCATGGGCCGCCATTCTCTGTTACGCCAACTCCGCATTTCCATAAAGTCATTTTCCATACAGAAAACTGACGCACGTTTGCAGTGAGATTGGCCAAAGCGGAAACTTCCTGTGTTGAAACTGTTGGTTTTAAAATCCTTCATGAGTGTCTCCCAGCTGGAATTTAAACCTGAGTGCTTCCATTCTACTCCAACCCTTCATTTTAATGGTGGACCTCTCTCTGCCTCTCCTTATCTCTCTGTGTAACTCTGACTTTCAAACAAAATAAATAAATCATTTTTAAAAATCCACATAAAATAATTTAAAAAATTAAGAAAGACTTGGTCAGAACCTAAAGTATGAAAGACAAATGTGCTCATGGAATCAAGAGTGATGAAATGGGGCCGGTGCCGTGGCTCACTTGGTTAATCCTCCACCTGTGGCGCCAGCATCCCATATGGGCGCCGGGTTCTAGTCCTGGTTGCTCCTCTTCCAGTCCAGCTCTCTGCTGTGGCCCGGGAGGGCAGTGGAGGATGGCCCAGGTGCTTGGGCCCTGCACCTGCATGGGAGACCAGGAGGAAGTGCCTGGCTCCTGGCTTCAGATCGGCACAGAACCGGCCATAGCGGCCATTTGGGGAGTGAACCAACGGAAGGAAGATCTTTCTCTCTGTCTCTCTCTCTCTCACTGTCTAACTCTGCCTGTCAAAAAAAGAGTGCTGAACCAAAGCCAATGTTATCAGTGCAAACTAATGGACTTCGTTCAATTTTCTATTTTACAGTAACTGCACAGTTCCCTAACAACTTGGAGTGAGAAAACATGCTGAAATGAAAAGGCAGAGTGAGGATCAAGACATCAGGGGTAGGTAAGTCAGGGTTAAGTAAGTTACTTAATTTTGGTTCAAAACAATTTCCGTGTGCATGATCATGAAAGGGAGGGACGAGCTGAACTTCAAAGTGCCTGAAAAGAGGGTTAGCGAAGCAGATTGCAAAGAGTAAAATGGGAGGATTCTGCCATTTCCTAGCAGGTCTTGAGGAAAAATGTCATTAAGCTCATTAAGACCACAGTAGCCAGATAAAAATTCATTCAAACTGTACTACTGTTAAATATTATTTGACTTTAAAATTTGTGCCCATGACATTCTCTCAAAGGAGGCTCTGAGGAATGAGTCTCAGCCCAAGTCTGGTGGACTCGCTCTCAAACAGTGCAGCCTCTGTTCCTACAGACCCCTCTCCATGTTCTGGGTGGGTGCTGGGAAGATCCACGGGGCGTGGCCCTGCTGCCACCCCCGTGAAGACTGCAAGAAAGACCCTGCTCAGACTTCCAGAAGCAAGGCCCAGCCAACCACAGAGCAGCCAATGTGAGGAGCTGCGCAGGCGCCACCACCAGCTACTGCGAAAGAACTCCCGGTAGGAAAGCAAAGCAGCTTTCCTTACCGATGTTGGCAACTTCTGCAAATTACAATGAAGCATGGCACTGGCTTGTAATCCTCCTAAATCTCGGGCTGCATGTTTTTTAAAAGATCTATTTATTTATTCGAATGGCAGAATTACAGAGAGAGATCTTCAATCCACGGGTTCATTCCCCAAACAGCTGCAATGGCCAGAGCTGGGCCAATTGGAAGCCAGGAGCCAGAAGCTTCTTCTGGGTCTCCCATGTGGGTGCAGGGGCCCAAGGACCTGCACCATCTTCTGCTGCTTTCTCAGGTACATTAGCAGGGAGCTGGATTGGAAATGGAGCAGCCAGGACTCAAACCAGCAAATGGGATGCCAACATCGCAGGTGGCAGCTTTGCCACAGCATGGCCCTACATGTTTTTTTTTTTTTAAACTATTGTTTTATATTTCCTTTTATCAAACTGCAAAATCAGCACTTTTGTTCCAGGATAGATCCTAATTTTTTATGCCAAGGAAACAAGACTATCAAGTACAGATATGTCTAAATAAAGTGGAAACGGAGGACATGGTGTGTTATCTCAAGCATATGAATAAATAATATTGAGGCTTAAATTGCCAAATCAAGTTTGGGTTAAATAAAATATTTTAAACCCTTGAGTAGACCTCCCGAGGCAGTGTTTCTAGTCCTGTATCTGACAGCTCACTTCCAGCTGCCTGGTGGACACAGCTACCTAAATGTCCCCTGTGTGCTTCCAAGTCCTTCCCTCCCCAAGAACAAGCCTGCTTCCCGCTGAAATTCCCCTCAAGGCTTCAGCACGCTCTCAGTCAGCCAGAGCGGCAGCCAAGAGCCCCAAGTCCTGACACCATCCCACTCCCCATGCCCAGTCATCCCCCAAATCCAGCATATTCTTCATAGCTGTTTCGACTTCCTTCGTTCTCTGCTCCTCGCTGCTTCTACCCAGGCTCCAGCTGTCCTGTCTCTTCCCTAGATCGTGACACAACCGATCGGCCCATCCTTCAACCTCCTCACCTCTAGTTCACCCTCTGTGCATTCTCTAGGGTAACACCTCAAACACCCATGACCTCCAACGTAACGCCCCTGCCCCTCAGCCACACACACACACACACACACACACACCGCCTTAGGATTCAACAATTCTACACAATCTGTTACTCCCATACGTGGGTTTCTCCCCCCTAGCCCACTACTCCCTCCTGCAGTGCCCTCTTCCACCCAACCCTGTTGGCTCGCTGCCATTCACCTGTCAAGAGCCATTTTGGGAGCTACGTCCTCCAGGAAGCCTGCCTTTATTACACACACTGTCCTGCAGACCCAGGCTGAGTATGATGCCTGTTCCACTCCTTTATGCACTCTGCATTTACTGTTACCATACAGAAATCAGCCACATTGATGCATACAAGTACGTCCAAAAAGCTCATGGAGAGTGTGTATTAGGAAAAATTGTGTGTGGATTTCAAAAACTTTTCAACAATTGTTAACACTTTGCTATATTTGTTTCATTTGTAAATATTACATATACACATACATACTACTTTTAAAGCAGGAGTGGATATATTAATATCATATTCTGTGGGATTTGTGACATAAATTATAAAATGAAGGAAGAAGGCTATATATTATTACTATACATTATATAATTCAGACGTGTCAATATTTAAATTATCTATACAACAAATAACACGGATCTACTTTTTTTTACTATATGTATATATTAACTTCTGAATATAAGAGAGAACATGTGGTTTTTTATCTTTCTGTGTCTAGCTTATTTCACCAGCATAATGATCTCCAATTGTAACCATTTTTGCAAATGTTAGGTTTTCATTCATTTTTTGCACCAAAATAAACTTACCTTTTAATTCCATTTTTCCACAAACTGAAGTCAGTGTGTATCTGTCTGACAGATATTCCTTGAAGGCAAAGATTTAGGATCTTTGCCTCTTGACAGTTTAACGAAGTTTACTGAACTGAACTGAAAATGAGCAAAACTATTGGGAAAAACAGGTTAGTGGGTATAAGAGTATCCTGGAGGATCACAAATGTTTGGGTACGGTGGCAATTGTTTTTCTTTATTATTATTATTTTTTTTTTGACAGGCAGAGTGGACAGTGAGAGAGAGAGACAGAGAGAAAGGTCTTCCTTTGCCGTTGGTTCACCCTCCAATGGCCGCCACAGCCGGTGTGCTGCGGCCGGTGCATCGCACTGATCCGATGGCAGGAACCAGGTACTTCTCCTGGTCTCCCATGGGGTGCAGGGCCCAAGTACTCGGGCCATCCTCCACTGCACTCCCTGGCCACAGCAGAGAGCTGGCCTGGAAGAGGGGCAACCGGGACAGAATCCGGCGCCCCGACCGGGACTAGAACCCCGTGTGCAGGCGCCGCAAGGCGGAGGATTAGCTTAGTGAGCCGCGGCGCCAGCAAATTGTTTTTCTTAACTGTACAAATAAGACTTCATGGTTTACAAAGTACTTTCCTGTAAATTATATCATTTGATCCCTTAAACAGTCCTGGAAGGCAGGGAAAAACAGATATCGAGGCAGACAGAGATCCTAAATACATAAGAAATTTCTCTAAGAAGAGAAATACTATTAATTTTTAAAGAATGTGTGTCTGTGTGTGTGGGTGGGTGGGTGTGGGTGTTTGTGGGTTCACGTACATGGGTACTCAATAGATCTGCACTGATTAGAGTTCCAACTCCAAATACATTCCTGTTCGACCAAAATCGACTTCTTTCGCAGCTACTAAAGAGAGAAGCAATTCACTCTCACCTTCAGAAGGTGCACTGGGCCGAGACCCTCCCCAGCGTTTCGGCGACTTCAGAAACTGTCCTGTCCTGGGGTGATGCCAAGTGCTGAGGGCAGCTTTGGTCAGAAGTCTCCAGCTAACAGGGCTAACAGGTGCTGAGGAAGAATACCGCAAAGGCTCCTGAAAAGGCAAAAAGAAAAATACACAGAACATTGTAAATTGTCTTCGGCCAGCTAATTCTATTAAGCTGAGATTTAATTTGAATATCCTATTAAAATTAACAAGAGGAACTTAATACATGCCCAACACCATGATTAAGTTTAACCAAGCATTTTTTGTACTTAAGGGCATCAGTGTCTAAGAAACGTTAAGCAATGTAATGGCTACAGGTAATGAAAAAAAAGGTAACATAATCCCAATTACATTTCAGTGCAGGATAGAAGTCTGAATTACCTCTCAATAGCAGGAGACAACCGTGCACACAAATCAAAAAGAAAAAGAAAAGGACTTGACCTTCTTTTTCTCTAATATTTCATGGGAATACAGCACACCTTACGGTCACATCAACACACAGGCCGTGACTCGGGAGAATCTAATACAGACGGCAAAGAACAAACAAAGAAGGACGAAGGAGTTGATGGAAGCTGACAATGTCAGCGAGGACCTCAGTAACGCAGTTACATTTTAGAGGTGGCTTTGAAGGCGATGAGAAAAGAAGGCATCTGGGAATAAAGGGGTTGCTGAGGACACCATTGTAAGAAAAACACAAAACGCTGCGTAAGGTTAAGGTAGAACTATGCAGAATGAAACCTTAATTAAACAGATGCCAACCAAGCCAAGTGCTTGAGTCGTATGTTTATTTACAACCTCACTGCTCTGAGAATGGGTGCGAGCAGAGAGAGAAGCCAGAAAGAACGTGGAGTCCGGCTGGTGCGAGAAGGGCAGACGCCAGGAGCTCCGGCTCGGCCTCCACTGACAGTCTCACCTTGCTAAGAGCTTCTCAATCCTGCCTCCCATCAGCACCACCGTGCGACCTCTTCAGCAATATCCATCTGGGCCAAGCAAATGCCTGACCAGTTACACCAGCCTCTCGAGGGGTGGGATGAGCCCTCCAAAGGACAGAACCTGGACGAAGGCATGTGATTCCCTCCTCTGGCCCTGGGGTTCTCTTTTGTCACACTCAGGGCACCCAGTAGCGCCTTTGTCTTTAAAATAGACCCATATTTAAATTAATAGTATCCCCAAATTTAAGACCTTGTAACAACATCTTCCATTTCTCGGGAGGAGGCGACCAGGAACCAAGAGGGAGAGAGCCATACACGGGGGCCCGAGCAAAGCAGCTACATCAGGAGGACACCAGGCCTCTAGGGGAGGGTAAATGCAGATCTTGCGCTGATGCAGGATGCAACTGTTATAAGCCAGGCTGGGGAGGGTCCCAAGACACGGAGCCCCACTGTTGAGAGGGACTGAAGATGCCCTTGGCTCTCTAGGCAGAGGATGGCATGCCTTGGAGTCCCTGTTGCTGAAGGTACAATACAGAGAGTAAGATTCCTGGGTGCTACATTATTGAGCAAGGTGTAGGAACTAAACACTGTGCCAGGAAGCACTTGAATTCTCCCTAGAGCCCTCTGTCCCGGGCACTATTATCATCCGCATTTTACAGATGAGGGAACGGGGGTCCCAGAAGGTTAGTCTTGTCCTGCAGGTGCTGGACCCGGAATCCTCACACAGCTAGTCTCTCTACAGGGACCCCTGCCCGGCCCTGCCACCCACCTGCCTTTTCTTCTCGATGCATTCTCACCACGGAAGGTAGAAACAGAAGCATCCTAGACTCCCCTTGGTGCTGTCCCATGTTCTCAGAGTTGAATAACTTCCGTTTTCGAGAGAGCATTAGTAATTTATGGAATAATATTTTGTATTCTCCCATTACAAATTAGTAGCGTTCAAATGCTTAAGTGCTTTTTTTTTTAATGATTTTTATTTGAAACGCAGACAGACAGATACAGACAGAAGATAGAGACTGACAAAGAGATAAGGATAGAGAGATACAGAGCTCCCATTCGCTGGCTCATTCCTCAACCGCCCTCAACCTCTGCGGCTGGGCTAGGACGAAACCAGGAGCTGGGACTCAATCCAGGTCTCCCATGTGAGTGGCAAGGAAGTACTTAAGCCATGCCTTGCTACATCTGAAGGTACAGTACACAAGAAGCCAGAACCGGCCGGTGCCGCGGCTCACTGGGCTAATCCTCCGCCTAGCAGCGCCGGCACACCGGGTTCTAGTCCCGGTCGGGGTGCCGGATTCTGTCCCGGTTGCCCCTCTTCCAGGCCAGCTCTCTGCTGTGGCCAGGGAGTGCAGTGGAGGATGGCCCGAGTACTTGGGCCCTGCACCCCATGGGAGACCAGAAGTACCTGGCTCCTGCCATCGGATCAGCGCAGTGTGCCGGCCGCAGCGCGCCTGCCCCGGCGGCCATTGGAGGGTGAACCACCGGCAAAAGGAAGACCTTTCTCTCTCTCTCTCTCTCTCTCTCTCTCTCACTGTCCACTCTGTCAAAAAAAAAAAAAAAAAAAAAAAAAAAAGAAGAAGAAGAAGCCAGAACCAGGATCAGAATCAGGAGTTGAACCCAATCACTCCAATACAGGACCCGGGCATCCCAAACAGAGGTTCAACTGCTGTGCTGAACGCCCACCCCTGAATGTAAGATTTCATTACACTATTGTGGAGAACCTCAGCCTTGATGACTATCTGAAGAGTCATAACTGAAATCTGCCCTAAGTGACTCAGTCTATCATGATGACTGAGCTTAAAGGCCCAACTGAAATTTCTGGAACATTACAATTTATTTGGAAACAAATTTCCAAATATAATCATCATCAATCATCTTGGAAATACACCCACATTACAGTTAGTTGTTCTGTCTTATTTACATTGTCTTCTTTCCTTTCTTTTGGATAGCATAGTTATGGACTATAATAAAACCTAATTTACAAAATATTTCACATATGAAATATACTTAAGGGGCTAAGGCAAAAGCATTGCTATTTCTGACACATCAGGCATATTCTGATTATACTGTGTCAGAATTATTTTCATGGGGTTGGTGTTGTGGCACAGTGGGTTAAAGTCACAGCCTGCATCACCAGCACCCCATATGGGCTCTAGTTCAAGTCCTGACTCCTCCACTTGCCATACAGGTCCCTGCTAATGGCCTGGGAAGGCAGCAAAAGATGGCCCAAGTGCTTGGGTCTCTGTATCCACATGGGAGACCTGGAAGAAGCTGCTGGCTCCAGGCTTCGGCCTGGCCTAGCCTCCATTGTTGAAGCCATTTAGAGAGTGAACCAGCGGATAGGAGATCTCCCTCTGTAACTCTGCTTTTCAAATAAATAAATAATCTTTTTAAAAATTTCTAAAAAGAATTATCTTCTTGGTTCATTTATGGAAAGATGGCTCTCATGAGACTCTGGGAAGACATAAAATAATGATAAGAAAAATAAAAACATAATTTTGGCAGGTGGAAGGAGCCTGGAAAATCACTGAATCCAGCCATTGACTGTGGCCCAGTGCAATTTTTTAGGGAATTCTGCAAGAGAACCTTTATCCTGTGGCTTTCACCCTTGATTCCAGTCCTGGCCCTTGGAGCCACACCAGGATGCCCATCCTGCTGTCAATGTCCCCAACCACAGCCTGTCATCCAGGAAACCAGAGAGCAGCAAGATCAGCGTGAGCCCCTCAGAGGCTGGGGGTGAGGGGACCCAGGGTGTGGCTGCATGAGACGGTCTCTGCCCTAGAAAGGAGATGGTAAGAAGCCGAGTTCATCAGACCAGCTCTCTCTGGGATTTGGCTGAGACGTCGGGAGTGGGAGGAGAATCTACGGAATATGCAGAGATAAGTGGAAAGGCCAGAAGAGAGACCCTGAGAGAAAACAGATAGGCTGGGGCTCCCTCGGTTGCTGCCAACTTCCTAATCCTTCGACTTGAGCAGGGGGTCCAGGTGAGCCCTTCCTCCCTCGGGTGCCCTGAGTGGCCTCTGTTCTCAGTGACAGAGCCTAGGACGACAGCATCTCATTCCCCGGCCCTTCTTGTAGCTGCGTATCATTCTGACAATAGCGCCCATGCCTTTTTATAGTCCATCTTGTTAGAACAAAGGGAAGGCTTTTTTTTTTTTTTTTTTTTAACAGGCAGAACGGACAGTGAGAGAGAGAGACAGAGAAAAAGGTCTTCCTTTTCCATTGATTCACCCCCCAATGGCCTCTGCGGCCAGCGCACCGCGCTGATCCAAAACCAGGAGCCAGGTGCTTCTGGTCTCCCATGCGGGTGCAGGGCCCAAGGACTTGGGCTATCCTCCACTGCACTCCCAGGCCACAGCAGAGAGTTGGACAGGAAAAGGAGCAACCGGGACAGAACCCGGCGCCCCGACTGGGACTAGAACCCGTTGTGCCGGCGCCGCAAGGCGGAGGATTAGCCTTTTGAGCCACGGCGCCGGCCATGGGAAGGCTTTATTTTCATGCCATCAGTATTTCACCTTCTTAGATTGGCCCCATGACTCTAACCTGCCAAAGCTCTTGACTTTTTAATTCTGCCCTTACCAAAACTCTTGCTAGGCCTTTCTCCTTCACATCGTCTCCATACTCCACAAGCATACCATCTAGAATGGCATTCAGGCTACAGTGGCGTTAAATGGTGAAAACCAAAACTGTTCATAAATAAAAATACATTTATCTTAACGGCCAGGTCATTCCTTAAAAGCAATAATTACCATTTCTCCAAATTGACTGCACATTTTCCTGAAGGTATAAAATGCTACATAAACTGATTCAACCAAGCAATTGGTTTGCTGGACAAAAAGGTTCTAATTTTTACTGGTTGGAAATCACAACCCTTTCCCCCCACGCACTCAGCAAAAGAGAAAAAATTAGGTTTTGGCATCAGTAGAGAAAATGAGGCCATAGTTGAGATAATTGGAACATGAACTCTGTAGTTAATTACCTGTGCAGTAGAGCAAGAAGTTATGCTTGAAAAACATATTGCAAAAATAGAGCTATGTTTGGTTTCGCCTTCCCCAAGGCAATCAAGGAAATGAGCAGAAGCTCTTGTTTTCAGTCATCTGGTATACCCGTGCCAAAGCAAAACTTTTTTGTCTAATTCAGTTTTCAGTAAGCTTTGTGAGATTTCTCCTTAGAGTA